AAAGACAGTATTGGGGAAAATTAAGATTTGTACTGAGACAGGTGAATCCAGCAGTATGGGGAGATTTGTATTGGGAAGAGGGAGTATTTTTTGCATTGTTTTTTAGGGAGAAGTGTACAGATTAGTGCCGGATTTTTTTGGAGTAAGGGGGGATTTTTGCTAAAAGGGAAAGTTGAAGGAGAGTATTGCTTGTACGGGAAATTGTACAATCCCCTGACCCATGCACTGTGCATTACACACCCCTGACTCTTACACTCTCTGTGTTATGTACTCCTGACCCCATGCACTTTGTGAATTAGGAACCACTGGCCCCTGCACTTTGTGCATTACACATCCTTGGTCCTTGCATTTCATACTCCTGGCCACATCACTTTGTATGTTATACACTCCTGACGCACACTCTGAACTATACACTCCTGACACCTGCACACGGGGCATTACACACCCCTGACCACTGCTTTTTGTATGTTATATACTCCTACCCCTACACTCTTTGCGGTATATATTTACTCCTGACCATGGCACTGTGTGTTACACACCCCTGACCCCTGCGCTAATTGCATTACACTCTCCTAACCCCTGCACTCTGCTTATTAAACACCCTTGTGTGATACAGACTCCTGCACTACATATACTATACTTGTACAGTACATACTTCTGACCAAATTGTCTCAACAGCTGCTGGTTGCTAAACAGTCCCCGACTCTATTAATAAAGCTCATCTTCTTTAAGGAAGGCTCAGACAAAGAGTTAGCTCTCTGTTTATACAGTGTTCTGTGTGAGAGTCTCATGTCTGTGAGACTCCTGCTGGTATATTTTTTGTGTACAAGAACTGTGGCATATTTGCATACAAAGGCTCAGGTTTTCTTTAACCATGCCCCTTTTAAAGCCCTCTGACTGCGATTTGGCCACATCCACTGTTCGCCACACCATGCTTTAAGCACCATATTACTACACTACTCAGGGCGCCCAAATGTGCCCCATGTCTTTTACAATTCTAACAATGGCCCTGACATTACATCAAATAGAAGCCTAAAAGATGGATGCTAGGTTGTGAATTTGGACATACATATGTAGTCCTAGAGGCCAACTCCAGCCTCCAATAAGCACTCTATTGAAGGTCAAGCTCTTTCTGTGACCAGCCTCCAGGATACAGTCCCTACTGACAATTTCAAGACCCCTGTCAAGATACATTGAGCACAAATATGTAGTTGTTGGTTTTGGGACCTTGATTACCTACCCTTGAAATGGTTCTTGACTACATTTGAAGGGAATAAGTGGTCTTTTCTATATATTTGAAATATGCACTGGCATAAATGTGCCAGTGAAGGGGGCCTGCATGTACAGTGGTGGTAGTGAAAACAGATGACTGCAAAGGGCATTCCAGAAGGATTTTGAGCACACTAATTTCCTTGAGAGCAACAGTAATGGCACTCTGCAATGCCTACTGGAAGCAGCAAAAGCACAGCCAAAGAAGGTTTTTTTTATTGCAGTTCAGAGCTTTAATTTGGGGCAGGGGCTCTAGGGCTTACTTGTCTTGAGCCCTGGTACAATGGCTGTATTGGGAAGTGACACGTCTCCCTGGCCACCTGGGAAATCAAAATAAGGTAAGGCCAATTGGGTGAAAAGAAGCCTGGGGGAGCCAGTTTACAGTGAGGCATTGCAGAGGGAACAGGACAGGAGGTAGAGCAGATACATTGTCCTCCTCATGCTGGGGCATGCACTATATACTACAGTGCAGAGAAGTTTGAGAGCTGCACTGCATCTGTGCCGCATATAATGCCAGCCATGTTGTATTGTTATGGGTGGTTTCTCCTGTCAATAGGCTATAACAGATGGAACACAACTGACTGTTTTATAAAAACTGGCTGTAAAAATATGGACTATGGAATTAGATGGTAATCTACAAGGCAAAAGAAAAAGGGAGGAATTTATGTACTGAAAATGTGTCTTTTGCAAAGACACATTTTTAAAACGTGAAACTGTCAGTGCAAGTCTGGACATCTGACATGCACAGTACTGTGTGACCAGTGTTAGTGGCAGTTCATTAAAGGATCCCCCATTGCCCCCTCTGTATCCATACAAACCTCTCACCGTAACCAGGGCCAATTTAACCAAAGGAACAAAAGGGCACTGGCCTTAGGCCCACCTGCAAATGATGGCACTAGAACTGTGAGGCTTATTTTCCCATATTTCATATGATAAACTATGAAGTAAGAGGCAAGTCTCATTTTTCAAGCAATTAGATCAGTACGATTCTTTGATATCCTTAGTGAAATGTAAAAAATGGTACGCCTTATGTTTAACCCAGTCCCTCCTAATGATATGTCTTCATGCTGACAGGCTCATTCCCAACAGAACTGTGATATTTCCTCCACAAGTCCTACAGATCTTTATACTGTGCAGTGTGTGCCTAGAAAAATATTGCCTTTTTTTCTTGTGTAGTTCTGTTAAGGGATCTTCTCTACCGATAAATGCATTCTTGGGTCCCTTAGGCGCTTTCACACCAACACATATGCAGTAATTTTATTATTATTTTATTTAAATTGCCGTTTTATGTGATTTTATGTGTGTTTTGTATGTCTGATTTTTGTGCAATTCATAGACACATAATTTTCTTTATGCATTATGCATTGACTTTCCTTGGTGCAGAAGCATTGCAAATATACAGAACTTCATGATATATAGATTGTTTTTATTACAATGGGCCTGCTTAACAGCATAGCACGTCCTATATTTTATAAACATTCTGAGCTGAAGCACATTCATGTGAACTAGCCACATAGGAAAGAATTGGACTTCTACCGTAACTACATTTTGAGCGTAAAATGTCTGGTTTTACTGCATGAAAACGTGTGAACAGGCCCTAACCTTATGACTGATTAAGAAATAATCAAGAAGCAGCAATAAAGTCACAAAAGCACAGATCGACAGAATGAATGAAGCATTGGCAGGGAGATCCTTCCACTGCAGGCTCCCAGGTACCGATTCCTCTTCAACAAGAACGGTGAGCAGCACAGCGGTGACATCATAAAGTCTCACTCCATATCTCAGGGCAATAGCAGTCAGAGAGCACAGTGCCTTAGATCTCACACTGCAGGTATACAGCTATGCATCTCAAGTAAACTGGAAATGCACTGCTATCTTTTAGGAGGAATTTAAGGCAAAAGGTAAAATTTCACAGCACTGCTCAGGTACATAAAAACATCTCTAGATGTTTCATAGAAGGTAGCAAATCTTCACGTTTTGAGTGTCACTTGGGATGGGGAACAAAGTGCAAAAAAGATAAGTTCAGTAACCCAGAGTAACCCCATTTCAGTATACCGAAGTTAGATCAGTAGAAAATAAAGTGTAATTAGTTACTATTGGTCACTATATTTTGTACATAGTTACAGCATTTTAAACAACATTATAAAATAATCCCCAACATGTTACATTATTAAAAAAACACAACTTATTACATTATTAAAACTCAAGAACAATGTGCTGCAAAGAAAGGGTTTGTACTGATCATAGCAACAGGTTAGTTCTTAAGCTTCTAAAAGACTGCAAATGGCACACTGGCCAGGGAAATTCATATAATGAGGCAGCCTGAGGCATTTAGGAAGCATGTCACTGGGTCACTTGGTGCCGCCCCCTTTCCAGCCCTTAGCTCTTAGCAACCTGTGACACTCTGGCCAGCATCCTGGCCAGCTCACCGACATCACCGGTTGACAGGAGCAGAGCGAGACGCTCTGCCTGGCGTCCTGCCAAGCTCCTGACAACCAGTGACATCAGTGAGCTGGGCGGGCCCCTGGACAGAGGTACCGTGCACTCCCCCAACACCCCACCCCGCCACCCCGGTAATATGCGCTCTCTTCTTACTAACAGTCCAAATATTCGTGAAATTATTTTTACTACTAAAGGGCACAGTATCCACCAGCCATATAAATGTTCTAATGAAATACTGTCATATTTAAGTAGATGAGGCTGAGGCTTATTTTTAAAGTGTATCTTTAGCCAAACCTTTTTTTCCCGTTCTGGATAGAGTAGTTAAGGGTTAGAATCCATGTCAGTTAATTTTTATGCTGCCTATGTCTCAGATAGATTTCCCTTCCTGTCCCAGTGACATACCAGGAAGTGAGTGGAAATCTTTCTAAAGGGTCACCAACACACGTTACAATCTGACCATAACATTTTTGCACAATCAAATTTAGATTCACCAAAACTATGTAATATGAGGACCTACCTAATCTATTCAATCAATTTGTATCCAATCAGGCAGGCCCTTTTAATACATAGTTGTTGATAGATCCCAAGGAGATTGTAACGTGTATGATGAGCTTTAGTAGACAGTTGTCACAGGACAGAGGTTTTCATTGGAAGAAATTACAATGGTTACCAGGACAGACAGAGAAGGTGAATCTCCCCAACAGCGACATAGACGGCTAAAAAAAACCTGACAGAGATTCTAAAAAAAAAGTTTGGGCTAGAAATAAATTTTAAAGGTTTAGAGTTTTGGTTTATACATAAGAGGCCACTGCACATTGATTTTATTGTAGGATAGTTTCTAACTTCCACTTTGCCATTTCTTCAAGTTTAATACTCCCGGGTTTTGGTCCACGAAAAAGGAAATACGGTGACCAAAAACAAAAAGTAAATTCACACTTCTTAAGTCCCTGCTATACATTAGGATTTCAAAATAGCACAAAGAGATTTATCTAAGGACTTAACAATAATCAGTTCATTATTTTCCTACTCTGAGTTTATTATAGTTGAACATTAGATGTGTAAGAGATACTCTGTGTTCCCTTTCATTTGCTGGAAATATTTTCCTTGTGGTAAGAGGGGTAATGTGAACCAACACACTGTTCCCTTCTCAATGATCAAATAATGATTTCATAATATACATCACGGGGCACAATATTGATTGAACTAACAGATAGCATGAATAAAAAGATAAATACACAGCACAAGAGAGAGCTGCAATTAAATTACTGATAAGTGGTGGATAACGTTACCTTGAGAATTCCAGCACATTGAGAAGTTCAAAGTTCTGTTCTGTGCCCATCTAGAAAAAAAGAAGAAAAAAAAAGTGTTTTTCCAGCCAAGGAAACAAAGTTAAGTTTGAAAACACTGCCACCTTGTGGGTAATAGCGATGCAGACAGGCATACTCAGCAAAGCATATGTTCAAACTGCGCTTCTACATAACAACCAATCAGAAATGATCTTTTATGACTCTGCTATAAACTGATAACAGTTTGATCTGTTGCTATGTCTTTGTCCATCAAAAAATATGTCTCCCATTCCTGCATTGCCTTTCCTTCACAATTTCAGCGGCTAATGAGGGCATAGTCAGCCCAAAGGGGCCCAGAACTAGAGGCCAGAGGAGTTAGTCAATACTTGCATGTAAGGGTTCTCAGAGAGCTCTACATGAAATCAAAAGGGACATGCAGATAAAATGTGCCTTATATATGTTTACCACCTCTATAGGTTATCTTCGCCATGTTTAAATAAAAAAAAAAAAATATGACACTAAACTCAGGCGTTAAACCTTAAAAATGCATTCAAGTACCTTAACTATTAACAAAAATGTATCTTATTTGTGTATCACTCGGCCGTAGATCCTCAAATCATCTCTGAATTGGTGCTTACACTGTCCTTCCTTCTGAAGGGGGAGTGCTACTTTTGTTCCCTATGGTCCCAGTGTGTTTTGTGAAGTAGTCACCGCTCCAAGATCACTCCTGCGATGGACTACAATCTCAATACAAATTAGTAAACTAAACATGAGATTGTAGTCCATCTTGGGAGTAAGCTTGGAGCTGTGGCTACTTTTTTTGATCCACAAAGCTACAAACAGAGCTGAGAAAAATCTACATTGAGAAAAAAAATCTGCTATTAATTATCTCACAACATAGTAAAAATATAGAATATTTGTGCTTTGTAGCATTCGGTTCAGAAACGTCAGCGCTGTGGAGAATATGCAGAGTGTAGGAACTACCATGATTTAAGCATACTGCAATTCTGAAAATGCCTCCGGTGGACTACATTGACATTAAAAAAAGAAACACTCCATGCAGGCATGTGTTCATTACCAAATAATTAAATGTGTTTTGAAAAGCAACTATTGTGATACCTAAATTTGATCTTGGGCTCAGGCTTTTGAAATGCTCTGTACAGCAGAGTTCTCCGACTGGGAGAGGGAGAGCAGCACTAGAAGCCAATCAGGTGTGCTGCATTACTCTTATGCTAACAAGAAACATGGTGGTAGGAGAGAGCAGAGTGGAAGAGAGAAGAGCTCATCAGTCTTCTGCTGCTTCTTTTTCAATGTCCAATCACAGGCTGGAGACAGGGATAAGACCTACCGGTATTACTTAATTACAGTAGAGCGGCGTTTCTCAACCTTTTTTCAGCCACAACACCCTTTAAAAGTATGCAAACCCTCGAGTCAACCAAATCTAAAATGTGGTCCCTCCAAAATCCATACGAGACTAGGATATATATATATAAATACATTTAATTGGCATATTTTCTTTTTGTTTCCAGATTAAATGTAATATTGGGAAAATACTGCATTATTTCCACCAGATGTAGCTGAGGAACAAATACATACTTATCTGACATGATCCTCAGCTTCATCTAGTGATCATAATGTGGTAATTTTCTGATATTACATTTGATCTATGCTAGGAAAATGAATTTGTGCCTCCATTTACACAGAACAAATACATGCATTTTGAAGGATGAATGGCTCTCTGTGAATTGTTTATAGATACACCTCATAGTGTTCCTGTTTAATATATCTATTGTACTATTATGAACATCTGTTTTCTAACAGTAAGTTGTAATGTTGGCAATGCATGGACAGATCTTTTGCCAATAACCCCCCAAAAAAACCCCTGTAATTAATGCGCTTTTTGTTTTTTCCAGTGCAACATGTGACCCGGAAAGGATTGTTCCTGTTTCTCAGCAGAGAGCCTGTTCACCTAATGAGCTCCCATTCCAACAACAGAAGTGTTTCCACATGCACAAAAGTGTATTGTGAATGAAGAAACAGACTTCTGTCAGTTTCTAATGATCAGACTAATGATCATTTCCTATATATATTACCATATTCTCTGAAAGTGTAACTCCACAATGTATCTTTTGTTTTGCAAAGAGCAGGGAATGGTCACATCCTCTGTCCGGTTTTTACTGATGTTTGTGCCCCAGCGGGGGAGATTTCCCTTCACTTCCTGTCCCAGTTATACAAATCAGAAGGAAACCTTCTGAAAGTGAGGGCAAATCCTGCTTTCGAGAGCCACCACTCTCTTTTGTTCCAGAGACAACTGTCAATGCTGGGATTTCTATCCACTTACAGGAAGTGAGGAAAAATTTCCCCGAGGGGATGACAGCAACACTAACCTGACAGATGTTCTCCATTCACAAAATGTATACACACTGCCTGGCTCAAAAAAAAAAAAAAAGAACTGGCAGACTGTAATATTTCATTGGCCCGTCTTTAGCTTTGATTACGGCTCACATTTGACGTGGCATTGTTTGGATAAGCTTATGCAATGTGACAACATTTATTTCCATCCAGAGTTGCATACATTTTTCACCAAGATCTTGTAGTGATGATGGGAGAGTCGGACCACTGTGTAAAGTCTTCCCTAGCACATCCCAAAGATACTCAATAGGGTTAAGGTCTGGACTCTGTGTTGGACAATCCATGTGTGAAAATGATGTCTCCCACAGATATCTCCCCATTTCCGTCGCCTTTGATCCCAGTTATTGGTGATCCCGACTTTTCGCCTGGCATCAACGATTCTCGCTTCCGTTGCCTTCGAGAAGCCAACAAGTTCAGGGTATGCGACCTACCCTTATCTGGCCGATGGCTATCAGCCAGCAAACTTAGCTGCCTGACGGAACCCCCTCTGGACCGTTGGTGCGCTCTCCAACTGCGGCATTTTCTCCTTTCCATACCCAACCACCAGCGGCTCTCTAGACCCTTGACACCGTTCGAACAGATCTGCAAGGAGGAGACACCCACTCGCCATGCGATTTCCTCTCTATACTCTCTGTTGATATCACCTCCCCCTGACACCTATCCAACATTCTTGGCCAAATGGGAAAGCGACCTCGGCACCTCCTTCACACCGGCCCAGAAGGACCATATACTACACTTAGCCCATCACTCTTCCATCGCCTCTAGAACCCAGGAACTAGGCTATAAAATAGTCTCCCGATGGTATAGGGTCCCCACAGTCCTCCATGCCATGTACCCTCAAGTCTCGGCCATGTGCTGGAGATGCCACAACGCCCCAGGCACGCTATTTCACACATTTTGGTCCTGCCCACCACTGCTCCCTTTCTGGCGGGGGGTGATCGCTGTCCTGAAGGATCTGGTGATGGTGGACTTGACAGACAACCCCGCGGCTTGCTTGCTACACTTAAGTACTCTGTCCACTGGGAAATACAAAAAATCATTGTCTAGGCACCTTCTGAACGCTGCTCGCCAGTGCATTCCCCTGTTGTGGAAGCAATCCAGCTGCCCCACCCTCAAGTTATGGTTCACCAAGGTGGACGAGACATATTTGATGGAGGATTTAACCTCCACAATCCGGAATACTGAGGAGCTCTTCCGGTCTACTTGGAGACCCTGGGCCTCTTTTCGGGACACAGAGACTTCCCACCGGGCCATGCTTGAGGCGCCCCCCTGAATGCTGCTGGAGACCCAGATCCTGGGCGCCTGACCCACTTCTACCTTTGCTGCTCCTTATCCCCCTCTGGCTCTTCCCTGCTGGCCTCTCCTCCTCCTCTTCTCATTTCTCCCCTTTCTTTTTCTACCCTACCCTACCTCCTCGTCCCTCAGACCCTATCCTATACCTCCCTTACCTACATCCCCCATTGGCGTTAAACACACGCACGATCCTTCCGGTATGCCCCCCACGTGCTACGGAACGCTTAACTAGAGTGCGATTCTCCCGATTAATCGTTATGGTACAAGAAGCCACAGAGGCCTATGATATGTTTTTTGTTTGACTCTACCTCGTGCCGCCTACGCTCTCTATACACACCCTATTGCTCGTATAATACTGTGGAAGGTCACTGTGGCAGTCTGCTGATTATCTCGCTGAGCCAAGCAATTACCCCATCTACAGACCATGTGCATTGTGATCCATGTATGTATCCTCTACCCCAGTTTTGTGTTGGGGATGTTGCCCTGCTGTTGAGGCGAATGCCTCCTTATACCCTTGTACCATGCATATGTACAATAAAGTTGATTTCTGATTAAAAAATGATGTCTCATGCTCCCTGAACCTCTCTTTCACAATATGAGTCCGATGAATCCTGGAATTGTCATCTTGGAATATACCCGTGCCCTCAGGGAAGAAAAAAATCCATTGATGGAAAAACCTGCTCATATAGGTCATATAGCTCTTGCCTATGTGGTTAGCTATATCCAAGTGGTGACTTTTTTGGGCCAGGCAGTGTCTGAAGATACTACCTGTAATTCAAACATCCCTCAACTGGAACCCATAATCATAGCAAGATTTAAACACCACATACGTCTTTTCTCCAGACAATACTTACAGCATCTATAATGACGGAAGTTGGCGTCCTTCCAGTGAACGTGTAGCCCAGTTTCCTTGCTCCTTTCACTAGAGCTCCTTCATCTAAAAAAAACATGGGACTTAGTTAGCAATGGCATGATCTAAATATTCAGTTAATTTCATTATTTATTTTTACTCATTTACACTGTGCTGACACAATGCAGTGCCTTAAATAATACACAGACCATTCACATCAGCACCTGCCCCTGAAGGAGATTGCAACCTAATGTCCTTGTTGAAGTGACAAACATATATATACAGGTGAAACTCGAATAATTAGAATATCGTGCAAAGTTCAACATGTCATTATTCAATGTCTTTTTTAATATATATATTATAAAATGTATAATATTAAAAAAAAAAGACATTGAATAGTGAAATGAATATTTAGATCATGCCATTGCTAACTAAGGCTTGTATCCCCATAGTGGGGAAAATAGATGAGCACATGTCCAGAACACTGTATAGTGTGGCACAGCTATATCCAATTCTGTATAACTGGCTTTATATTATTATTACATTTGTTTAAAATATAAAGCCAGGTATGCAGAATTGGATATAGCTGTGCCACACTATACAGTGTTCTGGTCTGGAGTCTGGACATGTGCTCATCTATTTTCCCCACAATGGGGATACAAGCCTTAGTTAGCAATATCTACATAGTTATTTCTTTATTGAATGTCTTTTTTTTAAATATTATATGCAGTTAAACAGCATTTTTGTGCCCAGCCCC